GCTGGCCGGGAGGGAATAAACAGATGGAGGTCTTAAGATGGCCAGCTCTCCCAAACCAGAAGCAGAGGAGGCAAGATTTCTTGAGGATTTAGTTCCTGTGCTGCCTGGAGGGGGATTGTGAGAATCAGGGAGATTTCCTTGATCCCTTCCTGATTGGATGCAGAGCTTAAGCTCCTTTGGCTTAGAATTCAGTGTTTCTCAACCTTGACAATTTTAAGGCATGTGGACTTCAACTCCCAGAATTCCACAGCCAGCATTGCTGGCTGTGGAATTCTGAGAGTTGAAGTCCACATGCCTTAAAATTGTCAAGGTTGAGAAACACTGGCTTAGATGGAAGAAAGCAGATTTGGGTGGATCTTGACAAGCGTCTTGGCAACTTTAAGAGGTCTGGACTTCAACTCCCAGAATTCCCCAGCCAGCTAATTCTGGGAGTTGAAGTCCAAACCTCTTAAAGTTGCCACGGTTGTCTCCTCTCCACCCTGCTTTGTGTGTCCCTTCCTGCCTTTCCCCTTTTGTGTAGGGTGGCGGGGAGGGGGGGAGGGGCCATTTCCCTTGACAGCCCTTCCTGCAAGGCTGGCTGCTGCAGTTTGTCCAAGATCCGGAAAGAGAATATTAAAAAGGAGGCAGTCCTGAAACCCTAACCTTGGGCTTTTCCCGGGTGGTGGTGACCTGCTTCCCTTCTGAAAAAAAAATAATAATAATTAAAAGATCTGTGCTATTTGGCAACCAAGACAAAGAAGCTGCTGAGAGCAGATCTGGGAGGAGGGGGGGGGGCTCCCAGCCAAGGACCCCCAGTCAATCAAACCTATCTGGCTGGCTTTTTTTTTTTTTTTTTTTTTTTGCATATGGTAATTACCATCTGTGCTGGATGTTCCTGGGAGAACAAAGGGATGATTTGCATTCAGACACCAAGAAGAGGGAATTCCGGGGAGGGAGGGAGGGAAGGCTGAAGCACATCAAAACGACACACGCATGCATGTATGAAGATGGAGAGAGGGAGGGGGGAGGGAGGGAGGGAAGAGAAGGCTGAAGCACATCAAAACCACACACGCATGCATGTATGAAGAGGGAGAGAGGGAGGGAGGGTCCTTCTGCAGCTGGTGCTCTTGTTCTCCTTAAAGGAGCCCCCCCTCCCGTTTCTCTCTTTCCCCTTTGCTTTTCAATGCGGTAGGCACTGTCTTGGGTGGGTGCCCAGCGGTCTTTAAGTGCCACCAATGGGGGCGGGCGCTTTGCGCACGGGGAGGTGTGTGCGGATGTCGTGACTTGCAGGGTAAGGGAGCCTTTTGTGACTCGGGCCAAGCTGGAATTTCGTGACTGGTAGCATAAAGAAAAGCTGGGCGATCTGCGATGTAAGAACAAGCTGCAGAGATTTAAAAAAAACCAACAACACAGGTTTTAAGTGATGCTCCCCAGTTTCAGGGTAACCAGTGTTGGGGACCTGCGGTTTAAGGCCCAGGAATCTCCTGGCTGGCCCAGACCAACAGCAGTATCCCCAGTTTCCTGCCTTCCTCTCAGGGCTGCATTCTGTCTGCAGCCCATGGGGGTGCTTTGTTGGGGGGGGGTCCTTTGTTTGTTCCTTGACATGTTAATCCAGCGGTCCCATTTATTGATGGCGAAGGCTGTTTAGGACCCATCTTCCCCTTCTGAGCACAGCGTGGTCAACTTAGATAAGCATCAGTGGCACGAAGAAAAAAAATGTGAAGGTTTTGAACTTCAGAAAGCAGAATTGGGGAATCACTTTCCCCCCCAACCCTGCTGCCCCCCCCCAAATTGTACTGGATTATTATTTCCATCAATTGTGCTGGCTAAGTGCAATGGGCATTATAATCCGGCATTCCTGCAGGGGCATCAAGTTAGGGGAGACGTATTTTTTTTTTCCATCGCAATTCTGAACCCTGCCAGGATGGCGTTTAGGGTCCATTAGTGGCTTTTAGACCCACAAGGACCCTGAAGCTCTTCATGCTGCTTGTGATCCAGGCTTCATTTGACTTCCCTTGAGCCCTCCATCCATTTTGATGTATTTTGGAAAGCCCCTCAGCAGCCTCCTCTCTCTTTAAACATCTGGTTAGTGTTTGGGGATAGAGTGCCCCCGTAATTGAGGGCTCCACTCCTGGTTAAGTATCAGAAAAGAAAAAAAAAAACCTTCCCGGATTCTGTGATCCTTTGTGATTAACCTTGCTGGCTTTTAAAGCTGGGCGAGTAAAGTCGGTTTGGAACCCAGAAAATAAGTGGTGCTTTGAGACCTCTGATCTCAAAAAAAGCATGCACCTTTCAGCTTGCGATAATAAGTACAAAAGGAAGAAGCAGATATGTATACAGTATGCAACACTTTCTCTTTTGGCAAGGAGGGGCGCCCTCTGCACGTGCTCGGGTGCCCTCTTGCTAGAATAGGACTTAGTTTTTACTCTAGCTCCCTCCCGCCCTGTTTTACATGAAAAAAAAATGTGTTTTTTTTTTTCTCCAAAAGTCCTACTCAGTTGCTTGGGCTGCCTCCCCACCCCAATTTTTTCCTACCTGGTGTCCGAAACTCACCTCCCCACCCACCTCTTCCTCCCGTAGATGCTCTGCCGTTCACAGCCCCGACCGCCTCTTAAGGCCACCCACCTTTCCTTGAGCTGCCGTTCCCACGGGTTTCTCAGAAACCTCCCTCCCATCCGTGCTTCCGTCTTTGCAGTGAGGCGGGGGGGGGGAAGGCTAGAAAGGCAGAAGTGGTAGAAGGTTGGGTGTTTTGAGCTGGAGGCATGGATAACTGCCGCCTTTCTCGTTTTGCTGACGTTTTTGCAGAGGCGAAGGAAGATTGGGGGGGGTTTGTTTGTTGCTGATCGTGCGCTGACAGGAAGCAGGGAGCTGTGCAGAAGGGCGATTCTCCGTCAGCGAGATGGGAGAGGTCCTTTTGTCATTGTGCTTTGTTTTTTTCCGGAAGCCCGCAGCTTGCCATCTGGCACCTTCCAAGGGCTGGTGAATCATTTGCTGCAGTCCTTGTTGTCCTCCATCCCTTGTGTGCATGGTGCTGCGGAGGGATATGGCAGTCCTCCATGAGATCTAGACGCTTGCTTAGTGCATGTGGGGGGGGGGGTTGAAAAAGTGGCTCAGCTGCTCTAGGCTTGCTTGCAAACGGGATCAGGAGCACCCCAAGACCTGCTGGGTGGTGCCAAAGCCCTGTTTGGCATACCTTTCCCAGTCTCTTTACACCAGAGGTGGCAGTGCCTAAGAGATAAATAGATACACACACACACCAGCAGCATGAGCCCTTGGTGCACAAGTCAGCCCTTGTGGCCTTTTCCCCTTCCCAGATTTGGGGAGGCCACCCTATGAAAAGTTTCATCCTGGTTTGAAGGTGGCTTCTTCTTGCTTCTCTTCTGTAATACCTCAGTTCTGACATCAAAGGCCACTGCCTAGTTTTCTTTCTTTCTTTCTTTCTTTCTTTCTTTCTTTCTTTCTTTCTTTCTTTCTTTCTTTCTTTCTTTCTTTCTTTCTTTCTTACTTACTTACTTACTTACCTACTTACTTACTTTAAAAAAGCCACCCTTCAGTTACAGGTCCCACCTGTTAAGCAAATATTGACTGCTCTGGGGTTTCCTAGCCAGTCTCCATCCGCTAGGCCACATTGTCCTCTCTCCTGTTCTGAAGGCCCATCGGGTATATTATGATCTGTCTTTAAATTAGTCCACCTCAGCTGAACATTGCCTCTTGTTCTGCACTCAATAGCTGACTGGAAGGAGAAGATCTAGGTACAGGGGTGGGGAACTATGGGCCTTTTGTGGCCTGTGGACTTCAACTCCCAGAATTCCTGAGTCAGCATGTCTGGCTCAGGAATTCTGGGAGTTGAAGTCCACAGGTCATGAAGGGACCACAGTTCACCACCCCTGGTCTAGGAAGAGAGCTTTAACCAGGGTCTTGTGTTTTCTTGAATATTTTATTTTAATTATTAAATTTGTTTGCCACCTATCTTGCTGCATGCAGGAAAGTCTTAATTCAAAACAGCAACTTACTGTGTGATGAGTCTCTTAGTTTGATGATTATGCTACCGTAGCAGTGCACCAAAGGCAACCGGAAATAATAAAATAATACTAATTAATAAATTCATACATTTATATTTCATAGCAAATAATGGAAGTGTTCCCACAAATCCACTAAGCCAGGGGTCTTCAAACTTGGCCCTTTTATGACTTGTGGACTTCAGCTCCCAGAATTCCTCAGCCAGCGGTGCCTGGCTGAGGAATTCTGGGAATTGAAGTCCGCAAGTCATAAAAGGGCCAAGTTTGAAGACCCCTGCACTAAGCATTAGAGTGCTGAAGCCCCTTGTCTCCTAAGAAAGGACCAAAGAAATCTTAAGATATGTTTTCAGGAGCAGGTGGTCCTTGACATACAACTACAATGGAGTCTTCCCACTACAGTTGTAGGCAATAACAGTCGTAAAACAGGATGGTCCTGTGACATATTTTAATTTTATGACTTTTTTTCTGGAAGTTGTTAAGTGAATGCTGCAGTCATAAAGCAAATGCCACAATCCTTAAGTGAATCAGTGGTTCATTACGGCTGTGGTTTTGCTAAACCTTGGAAGTAAGTGTCAGTTTGGGGAAAAATGTTGTAGAACACAGTTACGTTACCGCTGGACACTGCAAACGGGTGTAAATGTGGCTGTGTTGCTGAGTGCCCAAAGTTTGGTCATGTGACTGTGGAGGGGGCCTGACCGTCAGAAATTTTGAAACTTTGAGTAGTAAATCCCATTTTTCAGATCAGTGGTGATTTCAAAATATCACTAAGTGACCCGTCATAAGTCAAAGACTACTTCTATAGCATTTGCAGTGTTGTAACTGCAGTAACTTAAGGTTTACTTATTAGTTTATTTTAATTTAATCCTGCACCAGGTAGCACTAATTTCCATCTACCACACGTTTGGAGGGGGTGTCCAGGAATATCTTTGTGCTTAGTTGAAACTCCTGGCTTAAAAATCAGCCATCTGATCTGACCACTCCACCTGCTGTTCTCTTTTCCAGGTAAACGACTTCCTGTCCGGGAGGTCCCCCCTGACCCTTGCCCTGAGGGTGGGCGATCACATGATGTTTGTCCAGCTGCAGCTGGCAGCTCAGCAAAACAGCGGGCAGCTCCAGCATCGCCACGTGATTGCCAGCCGCGGAGAACAAGCTGGAGGCTCCACACCCGCCGCGGCCGGACCAGCTGCTTCCAGTTGCCGCACCCTCCCTGGGAGCAGCCCCGCCTCCCCCACTTTTGCCCGGCTCCCCACGGCGCCCGCTTGCCCGCCAAGCCCTGTGCCCAGTCCTGCTGCTTCTCCGTCACCAATGCAGACTATGCCTCTCTACTGTACCACCGCTAACCCGACACCCGTCACGGCAGGGATGTTCCATTCACATGGAGCCAGCGCACAGACAGTCAACGGAGGGGGGAGCGGCAGCGTCATGTCTTCGTGTTCAGAGGTCAGTTATGGGGTGCTTTGTGGGGTGTTAAAACCAATGAGGGTGGAGCATGAGCAGAAAACGCTGAAGCTGGACCTTTGGGTGCGGAGTCCTGACCCATGGCAGCTTTTCAAGGCACCAGTCTAGAAACCAGGCGACAGAGTTCTAATTCAGCCCTAGGCATGAAACTCAAAATAGTTGACTTTGGGCCATTTACCAGGAGACAGAGAGTTCAGCAAAACTAGGCTACTCTCCAGGTGACTCAGGGCGGATTTGTGAAGATGCTGTCCTTAAGGATGAACATCACAAGCCCACCGTAACTTTGGTCCAAAGAAGAGGCTTAGAGCAGGGGTCTTCAAACTTGGCCCTTTGATGACTTGTGGACTTCAACTCCCAGAATTCCTCAGCCAGGCACGCTGGCTAAGGAATTCTGGGAGTTGAAGTCCACAAGTCCTCAAAAGGCCAAGTTTGAAGACCCCTGGCTTAGTGAATCTGTGGGAGCACTTCATTATTTGCTATGAAATACAAATGTATTTAGTATTATTTTATTATTTCTGGTTGCCTTTGGTACACTGCTAGGGTAGCATAATCATCATGACTGGATGGTGGGGAATGGGAGGATTTATACCCAGGGGTCTTCAAACTTGGCCCTTTTATGACTTGTGCACTTCAACTCCCAAAATTCCTCAGCCAGGCACGCTGGCTGAGGAATTCTGGGAGTTGAAGTGCACAAGTCATAAAAGGGCCAAGTTTGGAGACCCCTGGCTTAGAGCTTCAGGTTTTCTGTTCTTTTTTTTCTAGCTGCCTCAGAATAAGGCGTCCAATCTTCTCCTATCCCTGTTTTCATTTGAGAGAGCAGGAAAAAGCTGGCTTCAGACTTTTTGTGATCATGAGCCCATGTCTGAAAAAAGGTTCAGGGAAGGTTCTCACGAGTCTCCAGCCCGTCCTTGTCCCTGCTTAGCATCTGTTCTTTGACTTTTGCAGGTAGACTGCGCCTCAAGAAGTAAAAGTTCGCCCAGCACCAGCCCCACACAGGCCTCTCGGACCCGCAAACATGGCGCTGTGATAGAAAGCTTTGTTAACCACGCCCCTGGGGTTTTTTCGGGAACGTTTTCTGGTATGTCTGTGTTCCATTTCTCTTGTCTGCCCCATAAGAGGAAATATGGGTTGATGGTAATACATGCAAGCTTCAGAGTCCCACAGGGGCTCTGGCTGGGGAATTCTGGGAGTTGAAGTCCACCCATCTTAAAGTCGCCAAGGTTGAGAAACACTGGATTAATTAAAGAAACCAATGAAATTCCAAATGTTTGCCTAGGTTTGTATTCTCCCAGGAAATATGGCGGCTGCATCTGACAGGTTTATCCTTATTTAAGCTAAATGACTTTTTGCTTTTCGCCCCCAGCCTGTGGAACTCATTGTCTCTTGATGGCTGCAGAACCTGTTCAGCTTGCAAAAGATGCCGCTGTTATCATTAGCCCAAACACTCAGCAATCTATCCATGATAAATAGAGACTTCAAAATTGTTTTCCCTCCCCCACTCCCGTTTTTTTAAAGCAGTGGTTCTCAACCTTTTTAATGCCGCGACCCCCAACCGGTCGTAAGTTGAAGGCTACTCAACCAGTCATAAGTCGAGGACTACTCAACTGGTGCAGTACCGTTTGCAGAATGGGACTTTTGGCGGGCTCAGCAGGGCAGAGACAGCCTGGACAATTCCTATTGGCTTTTGAAAGCCAATAGAATTAGACTCTATTCAAGAGAGTCTATTTCAAGACTCTATTCAAGAGAGTCTATTCTATTGGCTTTCAAAAGCCAATAGAATAAAAGGGAGTAGCACAGCTAAGGAAAAGGGGGGAAAATGGCGGACTGCGTTGTTTGGCGACCCCCGTGAAATGGTCGTTCGACCCCAAATGGAGTCCCGACCCACAGGTTGAGAACCACTGTTTTAAAGAAACCTATTAAAAAATTCTGCTATAAGTGAAAGTAGCATTTGGCTTAAAGAAGAAAAAAAAGTGGCATGTGTTGCTTTCTATTACAGAAAAAGTTGAATAATAACTTCGACCGGGAGGTGGGTAAATTAAAGCTGGTTGGCCAAATCTGGTTGAGGTGGGGGGGGAAATGACATCAAGCCCGAGACTCAACTGGACTACCAGGGCAAAGGGGCCTCTTGAATGCAAGCAGCCTATCAGCAGATTCCTTGCTGGAGGGTTGGCCCTTCCCAATGCCTGCCATGTTCCTTGGCCCATAGACCTGGCAGGTGTGCCTAGAGACATGAAGGAGGGGCAGGATCTGGCCCCTTAAGAGAAGAAAGTTTGCTGATCCTTCCCCTACAGGACTAGCAACTTGGCTTGTTAGAAAAGCCACCAGAGATTAAACATTTTGAAAAAAATCTCACTACAATATATAGCAGTGTTTTTCAACCTTAGGTGCTTTAAGATGTGTGGACTTCAACTCCCAGAATTCTGGGAGTTGAAGTCCACACATCTTAAAGCGCCTAAGGTTGAAAAACATTGCTATAAACCAGGTGTCTTCAAACTTGGCCCTTTTATGACTTGTGGACTTCAACTCTCAGAATTCCTCAGCCAGGCACGCTGGCTGAGGAATTCTAGGAGTTGAAGTCCACAAGTCGTAAAAGGGCCAAGTTTGAAGACCCCTGCTATAAACCAATACTGCTGGTTTTCCCCCCACAATAGATTTGATGCGCTGCTACAACCTTTTCTGCTTCTCCTTCCATCCTGCAGGCACTTTGCACCCCAACTGCCAAGACAGCAGCGGGAGGCCACGCCGAGACATCAGCACCATCCTGCAGATCCTCAACGACCTCCTGAGTGCCACGCGGCACTACCAGGGCATGCCCCAGTCGCTGACGCAGCTGCGGTGCCAGACGCAGTGCTCCTTGTCCACCCCTTCCCTGGATCTCAACAACCACACTACCTCAGAAAGAACGGCAGCTGCTGCTAACCAGCCCTTGCACTTGGGGGTCCAGTGCCCAAGCCAAGCAGCCACTTGCAAACCCACTGGTGAGTCCACAAACCTTGATTTTAGGGGTCCCCCCCCCTTTGTTTCTCCCTTCCCTGTCTTAGTCATCCAGAGAGGGGAAGATTGGTCTCTGAGCAGAACAGAAAGTCTTGGGTAGGTGGAGCTTGGGGGCGGGGCTTATTCTTGGGAGGGGCATGTGCAAAAATGGTGGTGGGATTCAAATATGTGAACAACCGGTTCTCTGTGTGGATGCCGCTTCCGGAAGTCCATTCTGGGCCTGGGCAACAAAAAATTAGCTACCGGTTCTGCCGAAGTGGTGTGAACCCGCTGAATCCCACCCCTGGGTAGGATCAGTTATTGTTTTTGGGTTGGGACTGTCCTAATTTTGCAAGAGTTTGGAGCAGCATCTGTGGAATATCCAGGATTGTTTTTGTTACGGTATTATAAGTACTCCTCAACGTATGACCATTCGTTTAGTGACTGCTCAGAGTTACGACGGCACTCCAAAAAGTGACCTCGCCTCATACTTAACAACTGTCACAACATCCCGCGATCAAAATTCAGGCATTTTGGCAACCAGCATCTATTTAGAACGGTGGCAGCATCCCAGGGTCATATGATCCACATTTATTTTTTAAATTTATATGTCACTCATCTCACCCTAAAAAGCGACCCTGGGTGGCTTATAATTAAGATCAACCTTCCCCGCCAGCATATGATAAGCCAAATCAGGGGGAAAAGCCAGATTCACTGAACAACTGTGGTTAAAAAAAGATTGTAAAAGGGGGTGTGACCTACTTAACGTCTGCCTCACTTATTGACAAGCGTTCTGGTATCCCAATTGTCATAAGTTGAGGATTAGCAGCATTGTTATTGGCAGCACCATTAAAGTAGTTGCTGTTAACTTATTTACATGTAATAAATGGGGTTCGATGAACGATCTGGAACTTCTCAAAGGGGGTGAACTTGGGTGCCTGTAAGGTTGAAAAAAGAGTTTGGGGAATCCTGGTTTGGAGAAACGATGGTTTAAGTTAGAACTTTGAGCTCTTTGTTTTATTACATCATTTTACCCCTGCCTTTGGATTTTCAGCATTGTGACATTGGGCAATGGAGAGGAATAAACTGCCAAAGAAACTTAAGTTGCAGTGAACTTTTCTGAATGATTTAATTGGATTCGTATGCTGAATTCCTCAGGCGGGCTAGAACTGGTGCAATTCTAGAACTGGTGCAATTCGTTGTTACTCATCCAGAAAAAAATTGCATGAAAGGCGGGAATAGAGGGCTTCCCTATACAAACCAGTCTTACTCCTGATGTAATTTTTTTTTTTTTTTTTGCTGATTTCTGCTGTTTTACTGAATCCTTTGCCAAAGAAGTTTATGGATATATGGGTTTTTGTTTTTTTGTTTTTGTTTTTGTTTGCTTGTTTTTTGGAAACCTAAAAAAGGCCAGGAAGTGCCAGTCATTACCAGAGTTGCAGGATGCCCCGAAGGAAGGAAGAAGGGACTCAATAAACCATAGATTGCTGTCACCATGATACATTCATGAGGAAGCGGCTGAATGCCTTAGCCATGATGAACATTTGTGAGAATGACAGCAAGCAGTAGGCATGCTCTGTCTCAGGGATCTTCACACTTGGCCCTTCTATGACTTGTGGACTTCAACTCCCAGAATTCCTCAGCCAGGCATGCTGGCTGAGGAATTCTGGGAGTTGAAGTCCACAAGTCATAAAAGGGCCAAGTTTGAAGGCCCCTGCTCTATCTGAAATGAGCAAGCAGGATGCCTGTCTATCCCTATAGTTGGAATATTGTAAATTATATGGGGGTATTGTATTTCAGGCCCTTTTTCAGCTGTAGCTCAAAAAATAGGAGCTATGTGGACTTACGATTAATTTTCCTGGAGGTATTTACCTTATTCTCAGAATTCTTGGACATGTTATTGCATCAGTTCCCTTCCTGGAAAATAACAACCGCCTCCGTATGTTATGGTTCTCACAACCGAGTCTATTTCTCAAACATGCAATTAGCTTTCTTCCTCTCATGAGTATGTGTGGCAGTATACAACCCTGTGAGGTAGGATAGTTTGTGATCTGGACCTTGTGGTCTTGGTTTTCTGGATTGCCTCGTCTAGCCTTTTGTGTAATATTTGTCAACCTTGGCAACTTGAAGATGTCTGGAGTTCAACTCCCAAAATTCCAGCATGTTGACTGAGGAATTTTGGGAGTTGAAGTCCAGACATCTCCCAAGTTCTGAGATTGAGAAACACTGTTTTAGTGTGATCTTGACTGATGAAATATTATTGGTTTGTCGCTTTTAAGTATAGGTGTTTTTATATTTGTTTGCTTTGTGGGAGTTCTGGCATACGTGTCAAGAGTGTCTTGCTTTTATCCCTGTCCCTAATGTCAGCTCTTCCTGCAGGTGTGTAAAACCTCCACCCCATAATCCACTCCAGTCCAAAATGCAATAAAGGAGCTGTGAAATACGACCTACATTTCCTTTCTTTCAAGATCAGCCCAACACTTCCTCCTGTTTATCTCATTGGCCTTGGCTGAAGTCCAAAAGCACAGCCTGAGTTGATTATTTCTTGGGAAAGGAGGCCACCAGGAAATTCAAAACTAGATTTCCTGCTGAGGAATGGGAAAAAAAACTCTTCAATATCACTGCTAAAAAACCTGCTAGGATATGTTCTTGGAGTCAGGATTAAATGTGACTTACATGGGGCGTGAACTCAGACAGTAAATAAATGCTGGTTTAGAGCAGTGTTTCTCAACCTCAGCAACCTTTCAAGATAAGTGAATTTCAAATCCCAGAATTCCCCAGCCAGCATGTTGGTTTAGAGCAGTGGTTCTCAACCTGTGGGTCGGGACCCCATTTGGGGTCGAATGACCATTTCACGGGGGTCACCAAACCATGCTGTCCGCCATTTTTTCCCCTTTTCCCTAGCTGTCCTACTCCCTCTTATTGGTGGCCACACCCACTTGGGGGTCACCACAACATGGGGAACTGTAATATGGGGTCACGGCATTAGAAAGGTTGAGAATCATTGGTTTAGAGCCACCCCTGAGCTCTCTCTCTGAATTTTTTGCAACTAAGTTATTCCATCCATCAACCTCCTTTATTAACTGTTTATCAGGATTAATAAGGCCTAGGTCCCTGGTACCCTGAAGCATAATGGAACAATAGATTATCTATTTGCTTTTGCTAATAGATGGCATTAACTCATTGCCTGCCCAGGAGACCTTAAATTTGTCTTCCCTCAAGACTTTTGATTACTATTTTATCAACTTCGATTTTGCATATGTAAATAGACTGCCTGTTGCTTAGTGGAGAAATGATAGCTTGGATTAAAGTCTGCAATTTGATTCCCACTCTTTCTTCACCACTGTTCAATGAGTGTGTTTGTATGTGTGAAAACAGTCCATTCTCCATTCATACTTTCCTCCTCCTCCAGTGGGCATCTTTTCCACTGGAAAGTGGAATATGGCTTTCATTTTGTATTTTGCTTGACATGGCGTGGGTTTGGGAATAGAGAGGGCAAGTAAATGATAATAAAGACGCATTTGTTGGAAACAGGCAGGGTCGTTAAAGCTTCTGCAATCTGAATCTCCTTTAAGGTTCCTTGATGACAGAGGCTGAGTTCGAAAGAAAGTATGGGAATTGTAGTCCCAGCCTATCTAGAGCAGTGGTCTTCAACCTTGGCCAACTTTAAAGCTGGCTGAGGAATTCTGGGAGTTGAAGTCCACATGTCTTAAAGTAGCCAAGGTTGAGGACCCCTGGTCTAGAGGACTTTAAGTTGGAGAAATTAGTGACTTCAAAATATTTGCACCTCTAAATCCATCTCTACCGTCGGCCCTAGAATTCAGGTTTGGGTCTACTTGGTTTGAAAAACCTGAACTGGACAATTCATAAGTTTGAGTGCTCTGAACACTGAATTTCTCAACCTTGGCCACTTTAAGACTTGCGGACTTCAACTCCCAGAATTCCTTAGCCCACCACACTATAGATCAGTGTTTCTCAACCTTGACAATTTTAAGGCATGTGGACTTCAACTCCCAGAATTCCACAGCCAGCAATGCTGGCTGTGGAATTCTGGGAGTTGAAGTCCACATGCCTTAAAATTGTCAAGGTTGAGAAACACTGCTATAGATTCATTACGTGCCATCAAGTTGGTTTTGACTCTTATTGGCCTTTATTGGTCCATTGGTCTTCGCATCATGTATAGTAGACTAATTTGAGCCTGTGCCTCGAGTGAGAATTCTGAATGGATTTGTTTGATGATCTGCTTCCTGGCCGACGATAGTATTCTCAGGAGTCTTCTCCGACACCAGATTTCAAAACCTCCCTGTCTTTTTCAGAATCCAACTTTAGCATCTGTGGCGTGTCAGAAGAAGAACAAATAACATTGCATGATTCCGAATATCTTTTCAACCATGCTAATCGCTGGAGCAGGCGCCTACCTTTTTAAATGTTTGCAGGAGAGAGAAACTAGGCTGAGGAAAACTTTGTATTCTGTAACTGGGAGGAGAAGGCCCCAATGGGCAAGTTTCTCTGCTCCATAGTAGCAAAGCTAGAATATATAACATTTTGGATAAAGAGAACCAGCCTCTTTTCTGGGGCAGGAGCCAAAAATTATGTAGCAGAACGGGAAGGAGCAATAAGACCTAGCCATTTTCTGCTGGGGCCAGAAAGAAAAGGGAGAAGAGTCCCAGGCCTTTCCTTGCCTCCTGTTCTTGCCTTTGGGTTGTAGACTCTTATTTTGTCTCAGACTAAAAATGACAAGAAAGCAAAGGGTTTCAGAATAACAGAGTTGGAAGGGACCTTGAAGGTCTTCTAGTCCAACCCCCTGCTCAAGCTGGAGATCCTAAACCAGTGATGACGAACCATTTAGAGACCGAGTGCCCAAAAAATGGCCCTGCCCCCGCTCCACCCCCTACCCTGCCCCCCATCCCGCCTGCCCACAGGGCTATTCATTGCCTCAAGGGCCTGCCACAGATCGCCCAGGCAGCCCATCAGCACCATGGCAGCCACGCCCTCTGCCCACGCC